ACTCAGAACCACTCAACTTCATGGAAACTGAAAAACTGGATCCTGAATTTCGACTGGATAAACAATGAAATGAAGGCAGAAATAAAGATGTTCTTTGAAACCAACGAGAACAAAGACACAATGTACCAGAATCTCTGGGACACATTTAAAGCAGTATCAAGAGGGAACTTTATAGCAATAAATGCTCACCAGAGAAGCAAGGAAAGATCTAAAATAGACACGCTATCATCAAAATTGAAAGAGTTGGAGCAGCAAGATAAAAAAAACTCAAAAGCTAGCAGCAGACAAGAAATAACTAAGATCAGTGCAGAACTGAAGAAGATGGAGACACAAAAAAAATCCTTCAAAAAAAAAAATCAATAAATCCAGTAGCTGGTTTTTTGAAAAGATCAACAAAATAGACAGTCCACTATCCAGACTAATAAAAAAGAAAAGGGAGAAGAATCAAATAGATGCAATAAAAAACAATAAAGGGGATATCACCACTGACTCCACAGAAATACAAACTAAAATCAGAATTACTACAAACAACTCTATGCACATAAACCAGTAAACCTGGAAGAAATGGATAAATTCCTGGACACTTGCACCCTCCCAAGCCTAAACCAGGAAGAAGCTGATACCTAGAACAAACCAATAACAAGGGTTGAAGTTGAGGCAGCAATTAATAGCCTCCCAACCAAAAAAAAATCCAGGTCCAGATGAGTTCACAGCTGAATTTTACCAGACATACAAAAAGCAGCTGGTACGATTCCTTCTGAAGCTATTCCAAACAATATGAAAAGAGGGAATCCTTCCCAAATCATTTTATAAGACCAACATCATCCTGATACCAAAACCTGGCAGAGACTCAGCAGGAAAAGAAAACTTCAGGCCAATATCCATGATGAACACAGATGCAAAAATCTTCAATAAAATACTGGCAAACCGATTGCAACAGCACATCAAAAAGCTTATCCATCATGATCAAGTAGGCTTCATTATGGGGATGCAAAGCTGGTTCAACATACCCAAGTCTATAAACGTAATCCACTACATAAACAGAACCAAAGACAAAAACCACATGATTATCTCAATAGCAGAGAAGGCCTTTGACAAAATTAAAAAACGCTTTATGCTAAAAACTCTCAATAAACTAGGTATCAAAGGAACTTATCTCAAAAACAATAAAAGCTATTGATGACAAACCTACAGTCACTATCATACTGAATGAGCAAAAACTGGAAGTATTCCCTTTGAAATCCAGCACTAGACAAGGATGTCTCTCTCACCACTCCTATTCAATACAGTATTGGAAGTTCTAGCCAGGCCAATTAGGCAAGAAAATAAATAAAGGTATTCACTTAGGAAAAGAGGATGACAAATTATCTCTATTTGCAGATGACAAGATTGTATATTTAGAAGACTCCATCATCTCAGCCCAAAAATCTCCTTAAACTGATAAGCAACTTCAACAAAGTCTCAGGATACAAAATCAATGTGCAGAAATCACAAGCATTTCTATACACCAATAACAGACTGACAGCCAAATCATCAGAAAACTCCCATTCAAAATTGCTACAAATAGAATAAAATAGGAATACAACTAACAAAGGATGTAAAGGACCTCTTCAAAGAGAACTACAAACCTCTGCTCAATGAAATAAGAGAGGACACAAACAAATGGAGAAATATTCCATGCCCATGGTTAGGAAGAATAAATATTGTGAAAATGGCCATACTGTCCAAAGTAATTTATAGATTCAATGCTATCCCCATCAAGCTACCAATGACCTTCTTCATAGAACTGGAAAAAAACACCTTAAACTTCATATGGAACCAAAAGAGAGCCTGCAGAGTCAAAACAATCCTAGGCAAAAAGAACAAAGCCGGAGGCATCATGCTACCTTATTACTACAAAGTGACAGTAATCAAAAGAGCATGGTACAGGTACCAAAACAGGATACAGACCAATGGAACAGAACGGAGGCAATGCCACACATCTACAACCATCTGATCTTTGACAAACCTCACAAAAACAAGCAACGGGGAAGGGATTCCCTGTTTAATAAATGGTGCTGGGAAAACTGCTAGCCATGTGCAGAAAGAAGAAACTGGACCCCTTCCTGACACGGTACACTAAAATTAACTCCAGATCGATTAAAGACTTAAACATAAGACCTAACACTATAAAAACTCTAGAAGAAAACCTAGGCAAAACCATTCAGGACACAGGAGTAGGCAAGGACATCATGACTAAAACACCAAAAGCATTGGCAACAAAAGCCAAAATAGACAAATGGGATCGAATTAAACTCCAGAGCTTCTGTACAGCAAAAAAACAATCATTAGAGCAAACCGGCAACCAACAGAATGGGAAAAATTTTTGCAATCTACCCATCTGACAAAGCACTAAAACAGAATCTACAAAGCACTAAAACAGATTTACAAGAAAAAAAAAACAAAGCCATTCAAAAGTGGGTGAAGGATATGAACAGACACTTTTCAAAAGAAGACATATATGAGGCCAACAAACATATGAAAAAATGTTCATCATCACTGATTATTAGAGAAAGGCAAATCAAAACCACATTGAGATACCACCTCAAGCCAGTTAGAATAGCAATCATTAAAAAATCAGGAGACAAGAGATGCTGGAGAGGATGTGGAGAAGTAGGAATACTTTTACACTGTTGGTGGGAGTGTAAACTAGTTCAACCATTGTGGAAGACAGTGTGGCGATTTCTCAAAGACCCAGAAATAGAAATTTCATTTGACCCAGCAATCCCGTTACTGGGTATATACCCAAAGGATTATAAATCATTGTATTATAAAGACACATGCATACATATGTTCATAAAGGCACTGTTTACAATAGCAAAGACCTGGAACCAACCCAAATGCCCACCGACAATAGACTGGACAAGGAAAATGTGGCACAAATACACCATGGAATACTATGCAGCCATAAAAAATCATGAGTTCGTGTCCTTTGTAGGGACATGGATGAACCTGGAAACCATCATTCTCAGCTAACACAAGAACAGAAAATCAAACACCGCATGTTCTCACTTATAGGCGGGTGTTGAACAATGAGAACACATGGACACAGGGAGGGAGCATCACACACTGGGGTCTGTTGATGGGGGCCAAGGGAGGGACAGCGGAGGGGAATGGGGAGGTAGGGGAGGGATAACATGGGGAGAAATGCCAGATGTAAGTGATGGGGGGATGGAGGCAGCAAACCACATTGCCATGTGTGTACCTATGCAACAATCCTGCATGATTTGCACACGTACCCCAGAACCTAAAGTACAATTAAAAAAAAAAAAAAAAAAAAAAAAAAAAAAAAAAAAAAAAAAAAAAAAAAAAAAAAAAAAAAAAAAAAAAAAAAAAAAAAAAAAAAAAACAGCCAGGTCCCATGTTGAGCTTCAGTGCAATGCAGGACTCTAGCACAAAGTTGACAGGTTTTAAAGAGCCATGAAAACTTTGTGTTACATACCACATCTAAGAAGACGTGACAACAGCCAAAAAATAGTACAGTTCCTTCGACAGACAATAAACCGATAATTAAGTACATTAGATAGGTGTTATAAACCATGTATAACCAACAAGTATTTGGAAGTGTCTGAAATTTTCCAGTGCCTTGCTAACATGGATGTGAACTGGGAGCAGGTGATAGTGAAAGATGTTTATTTTTATAGGCAGGTAAAATAATAACAGGAATAGATGCACGATTACAACTATCTTTCCTTTCTCTGATTTAACATATTCTCCTTTGACTTTCAAAACAAAACATAATTTGTATATTTTAGGCTGAAATAAACAATTGAATGTACTTAACATCCATATCAAATAACTAAGTAAAGACTTCAAGAAGGCAGCCAGGTATGTAACCCGTGAGCTTTAGGTTCAAGGCTAGATCCCATCAACATAAGAAGAATCAGGAAATCTGAAATGGTTCAGCTGTGATTTCTTTTGAATTACAAGCATCATTCGGATTACAGTTAGGCAAGCTGCCAGTGAATTATCAAGGAGATTTCAAATAAATGCATACACTTTGCTTAGGAGCAGTGAACAAAGCAAAGGCCTCTGATAAATTTAACGCCAGCAATTTTCAAAGCTTAGTCTTATGGCTAGAAGGAACTTAAGAAGTAGAGCAATTTTAGGCACTCCAACACTCTGTCCTCATGAGAATTCTGACAACTTAGATGAAGGATTCTGTAGCAATTTAAAGTTCTACTAGATACAATGTTTAAAACTGTTGGTTGGTAAAACCCTGAAAAAGATGACCTGTAAGGGCTCTTTACAGATGATACTAAGACCCAGAGAATTCACATAGCAGTAGTGGGAAAAGCATGACTTTCAAAGTTAATCATTTGACTAAATTCTTCCCAGACCTCTTCTTCAATGTCTGTTCCTAAGAACATAACTTTTTTCTATTTCTTCACCTATAAAAATGAAGGGAACACTTACCTTTCAAGGATGTTATGAAGATTAAATCAATTCATGTTTATGAAAATACCTGTCACATAATAAATACTCAATCCATCTTGATTGCCTTTCTTCCAAGGGATGAATAACTCAAAAGTCACATAGTGAGGACTAGAATCAAGAGCTGGGATCCCCTTCACCACTTAACAGAATTCAACTATTTCTTAAATGGTCTCTATACCTGTTGAATCATATCATAAAATAGAGCTTTTTAACACCTGAGTTGGGAGGGGTACTTATTAAAGTAAATGTGGAACACCACAGGGCTGCAAAGGAGTTAGGAAGTTTAATCAAAGAAATGTTACATTGGCTACCTTTCTAAAAATGCCATCTGCTTAGTTTGTATCTGAAGGCTTGACCTTCTGGAAACAATGCAACAAATGAAGTTGGTTATTTTTAATGGATATTTCACAACTAGTATTTCAAGACTCTTTGCAACAAATAGGTATCAAGTGTCTAACATGTGCGGGGAGGGCCCTGGGATGACAAAAGTATGAATCCAACTTTGGCCCCGTTTCTTCTTGTAGAGAAGAGAGACAGACCTCGAGGAGTAACAAAAACCAACCAACCAACCAATAATTGCATAGTAGGTGTGTTGGAACTTACAAAGTTCAAGGCCAGCCTGACATGGTTGGTTACTTAATGCTACTCTACTTAGGGATGAAATGCCCACTGCATCAGGAGTCGGTAGACATTGCAGAAACTATTCAAATTGTGTTAACCGAATTCTAGCATTGTTTCTGAGAGGAGCTAGCTTTGTGAACTTGTCAAGTTACTTGACATCTTTAGGTTATGTTTCTCAAATGTAAAATAAATGAGTTCAAAGGATGATCCCTATCTAAACCTCCTTCCCGTTCTCATATTCCAAATTACATGATACTGATGATGACCACAAGAAATACAGCAACTTACGTTTACCGCGCATCTATTATATGTGAAGCACTGTGCTAAAGTGCATTACTGTACTATCTTCACAACTTTCTGAAATGGACATTATTGTTACCTTTATTTTATAGATGAGGAAAACGAAGCTAAACAGTATCAGAATACTGGAGTCGTGATTTGAATGGAAGCAGTCTGAAGCAGTAATCCCCGCTTCTGACCCCAGTCGGAAGGTTAACCCTGAATTGAAGCAGTTCAGGAATTACCCTTAACCATCACACAAAGCTGCCTCTCTTCACAAAAGCTGTCTTATCCATTCTCAAGAAGCAAGGAAAAGAAAAAATGAAGCTTGGGAAAGGGTCCTTCCTGGCTGGCAAGCAGAACTGAGTTAAGGTCAGAGTTGTCTGTTTCACGTGTTAAAAAGTCTCTCGCACCACTTTCCCCGAGACGCTCGCGCGCTAACACGGCCGTGCACATCCCTGCCAGGCGGACACCGCGACCGCCAGAAGCGGCCAGGGCTGAGGCGCGCGGAAGGGCTCCGGGAGAGGCCCTGTAGGAGGGCGGGCACGAGTGGGTACCTGGGCTGCTGCCTGCTCCAGTCGGCTGGTTCTCCCACCATTCGTCTCCGAGATCGTCTGCCATCTCAGCTCAGGACTCGACGTGGGCGGATCACAGGGGAAGGCGTCCGGCTGAGGAGAATCAAGCTCTCTTCAAAGCCGGACGGCTGGCGTCTCTGCACGCGGAGCCTCCCCTAGACCGGTCCCGCGGTCGCCTCCGCCCCGCGGCGATGACGTCAAGCCTCCGCCCCGCCTCTCCGGAAGCCTCTGCGAGACTCGTTACAGTTTCCACACAGGCGCCGACAGGCAGAAGCAGTTTGGAAATGCAAAATAAATTTCCCCAAAGCTAAAAGACAAAAAAAGAAATAAGCCAAAAGGGATTGTCATCGTTTTTGATAATGTATTTCAAAAAATTTTGTTTAGGTGTTACGTTTTCCAATAAGGTTGTGTCGAAAGTGTGAAACACGATGCTAAGACGATTTTTTTCTGCTCAGTTTGAGTTGCGCCGCGGGAGAAGACTCGGACACGTGCGTGTGTTTTCGCTGGTGCGTCAGCGTTTCGGAATTATGTGTTTGTACAGTTTTCTCTTAGAAACCGTGCACAAGGATCCATGACCATGAATGTCAGGTCTTTGTGGTAAATGTAGTTCTGCTATTTATGCAATACGAGTAAAGAAAATGTCATTGGTCTGGAAAGGCTCGCCCACAGAGAGACGCAATGGCCCGAAGACTTGAAAGCTGTTTCCCCATACTCCCTGGGTTGTGTATCCCACCCCCTATTTGGGAAACGAACTAATAAGGGAGTCCATTGCTTCGTTACGATGGGTAAGAGACCCCAATGCCTGTTGTCCCATTCCCAACGTGAAGTGGCAAGAGAGGGACTAGGAAAACCCTCTGGGCGCCAAGTGCTGGGGCTAGCTGTGGAGTAATTATGGACGGTAGTTTTCAGGACGGCCATCATACACGGAGATAAAAATTATACAAAATGTATTAACAGCACGCAATGTTTCTGGTACCATGCATGGAATAGTAAGATGAGTCTTTTCAGGTGTCACCCTATAGTAGTGAAAATGCAACTTGTGAGAATAAAGGGCTAGACTTCCAATGGATGCATCTTCGGAAATGACAAGCCGGGGAAACTTAATCTGATGAGCATAGAATTAGCCATATATGGAAAATTACGCCATGTAAATCCAACTTAAGATAGTTTATAAATGCATTACTGCCTAGACTTTTATCAGCACACTCTAAATGTCCCCAAAGGTAGCACATTATGTATAAATGTGGCAAATGTGAAATAATCTATAAAGATTAAAAGTAATGTGGCTTTTGTGAAGAAACGTAGATGACAGGAGATTTTCGTGATTAATAGATTATTGGAAAAGAAAGATAAGAAATGCCAGTGTGGAAGAGGAAGTGCTATGGCTAATAAATATGCAAAGATGTTCAGTCTCATTATTAATCTGGGGAAAAAAAAAAAAACAAAAACCGCAGTGAGACAGTTTTTCAGGCAGTAAATCACAAAATTAAGAAGTGTGGGCCGGGCACAGTGGCTCATGCCTGTAATCCCAGCACTTTGGGAGGCCGAGGTGCGTGGAACACCTGAGTTCAGGAGTTCCAGACCAGCCTGGCCAACATGGTGAAACCCGTCTCTTCTAAAAATACCAAAATTAGCCAGGCGTGGTAGCAGGCGCCTATAATCCCAGCTACTTAGGAGGCTGAGGCAGGAGAATCGCTTGAATCCAAGAGGCAGAGGCTGCAGTGAGCCGAGAGCACACCACCGTGCTCCAGCTTAGGTGACAAGAGCGAAACTAAAAAAAAAAAAAAAAGAGGCGATAATTAAAATTACGTCTGGCATAGTTTAAATTATGCAGAGTGTGTGCATCAATGGGAATTGATTCCTGTTTTGTACCACGAACTATGAATGGTCTTACATATATTCCACCTAGCCTCAACCTCCCAAGTAGCTGGGACTACAGGCACATGCCATCATGCTTGGTTATTATATTGTTGTTGATTTTGTTTTTTGTAGAGACGGTGTCTCACTTTGCTGCCCAAGCTGGTCTTGGAACACCTGTCTTCAAGCAATCCTCCCACTCCAGCCTCCCAAAGTGTTGGTATTCCAGGAGTGAGTCACCGTGTCTGGCCATTTTAAAAAAATATACATTTTTAAAGCATTGTAAGAAACAGAACAAACCAACAACAACAACAAAAAGGTAAAGAAAAATATGCAGCAGAGACTGCTTGTAGCCCTCATATATTTACTATTTATTATTTATTCTCTCATATATTCGCTCTAACTTTACAGAACAAAAGTTTACTGACCCCAGATTATATTGAATAGCCAACCTAAGTTGTCGCAACCATTTCTGTTCTGTTTGTTCTATTGTTAGTGAATTAGTTATTGGTGAATTGGCATCCTACTTTATAAATCAGTGTATTGTAAAACTGTACTCTCCAGTATCTGACCATATTGTCTAACACAGGGAAGCTCAGGCTGAAATAGCTATTAGGTCTTTTTCTGCTCCCTCTTACTGTTCAGTATTTGAATGAGTATTATTCGAGTTTAGAGGAGGAAGCATTGATTTCTCAATGGGATGAAATGGGAAGCCTTCATAAAAGAGGTAGCACTTGAAAATGGATGTCTGTGGGCATACATGGATGGGGTAAATACTAGTTCCTTGGAAGAAAGATTGGAATGTTCACTTTGCTGGGCCTTTCTTTGTGATCCTGTAAAATAAAGGGGAGAAATTACTTGAGTCCTGCGGTCCCTTCCAACTCCATGCCTTAATCTTGAATCTCAGACCACAAATTCTGGAGTTTTGTTGTTATAGGCAAAGGACATGATGAAAGTATTGTTTTAGGAAAGCTAAATTGGTATTACTGTGCAGGATGGATAATGGATTTGAGCAGAGCTTCCCACCTGGCATGGAGGGGCCAAAGACTAACCCCCTCAACAGTCTTTGGAGGAAGCAGTGACCTTGGGCCAGTTGCTTCAGTTTGAGGGTAACATCATCAATTCACTCTAGTGTTGTACAAATATCACCATTTTCTATGGATGCCATGATGTAAAGGTTGGCAAGAACTGAATTAGAGGGCGATAAAGTTTGAAAGCTGTTTTGTGAATGCTTAACACACAATGAAAAGGCCTTAATCAAGGCAGAGGCTCTTAGGCAATAAGCCCAGTCTGTAAGTGCACTGCAGGAACCATCATGACGTATTCAAACTTTTGTATCATGTAGACAATAATGGTAGTAATGACACCAACAACAGCATATTCTAGATCTCTCTCGAAGCTCTTATACTTTAATTCATCTAATTATAACTTCGTGAGTTACTGTGCTGGGACTAGGGTGAGGCGAGCAGAGGCCTAGGATGCCAGATTTAAGGAAGCGATCACTCTCAGGCTGACATTGACACTAACCTGAGAACCCTTGTCTCACTTGAGTCCTGACGCTGGTCCCTTTACTAAAGGCCACAGCTCTAGTTCAGCAGCTCTCCTCCATTCTTTCTTCTGAGTCTAGTAACTATTTATTGCCTTTGCCTCTTCAGACTTAGGGGTGGTGACTGCTCCCTACCATTACTAGTCCTGGGGTTCTACACCATGTTTCATTTACCTAATCTTACCTCACGTTCAGAAATACTCCCCTTACTAAATTATTTTTAGTTTTCCAGCTTAAATGGGTCGTCTTTTGTATGATAGGATCCCAACTGATAAAATCACTGCCTACTTAGGATTCCCCTCAAAGCAGAGCCTATGACAAAGGCATGGATGCAAATTGTTTGGGAGGTGATCTCAGAATACAAGAATAAAGGCAGAGAGAATAAGACAAAGAAGGAAGGATTGATGTTAAACTGGGTTCGATATAAACAATAACTGGCTCTTTATCCTGTTGGAGACCCTCTGAAAAAAATAGGATGTACCCCAGAATTAGCCTCACAAAGTAATACAGAAGTTAAGAAGAAATTACTTAGGCAGATAGTAAGGTTATAGGAGTCCTCAGTAAGGCTTTAATTTTTAATGAAAAGCAGCCCCAAATCATTTCCTAACAAAGAGCAGCCTGCAAGCTGGGAGCTGCACAAATGAATGCTGGTAGGACCTAAGGACTAGACATGTTCAAATGGCGCCTCTATCTTCCCTTCTCTGCCAGCCACATGTACTGCAAGGAGCAGAGAAGATGGGACCGATCAACTGGAAAGTCCATTTGCATAGTAAGATTAGAGTGGAGTGATCAACCTTCCCCGTGTGCTATGTAAACATCATATCATACAGTACCTGGTTGAACCAATCTATGAGCCCTATGTAGATAAGACACTGCCTCCTCAAGCTGGAGTAGAAAATTCAGTGCATTTGCCACCAGCCTGTCTTTTCTATTCGGAGACCCCTTTCTCTATGTAAAGAAGAGGCTGGAAGTGGTGGCTCCTGCCTGTAATCCCAGCACTCTGGGAGGCTGAGGAGGGTGGATCACCTGAGGTCAGGAGTTCGAGACCATCCTGGCCAACATGATGAAACCCCGTCTCTACTAAAATTAAAAAATTAGCCGAGTGTGGTGGCATGTGCCTGTAGTCCCAGCTACTGGGGAAGCTGAGGCAGGAGAATCGCTTGAACTCGGGAGGTGGAGGTTGCAGTGAGCCAACATCACGCGTTGTACTCCAGCCTGGGGTGGCAGAGTGAGACTCCGTCTCAAAAAAAAAAAAAAAAAATAGAGAGAGAGAGACCTCTTTTCTTGTCATCTGCCTATTAAACCTCCGCTCCTGAACTCCTCGTGTGTGCCCAGGTCCTAAATTTTTCTGGCATACAATGATGAACCCCAGGGTATATACCTCAGCATCTTCAAAAGGACAGAAGTCTAGGACCATTGGGGAATTTTTAGACTGCGTGATCTGCTTATGTTTTTTTAGCTGGACGATGTGTAGTAATAGCACAAACAGAAAGATTGGGTAGGAGGCTCTTGCAGTCGTCAAAGTGAGATAGCAGTGTCTTGGATTCTGATAGTAGAAGTGGAGATGAAGAGAACTGGGACTGGGTGAGATTACTTAGGGAGACAGTGTAGAGAACAGAAAGAGTTCCTGGGCCTCCACTCTTTAGGTGTCAGGTGTAGGAGGAGAGGCCAAAAAGCCCAGGAGACAATAGCCAGAGGGAAGAGTAGAGCCAGGCAAATGTGATCCCTTCGAATCAAGAAACAAGAGTAGTCTCAAGACAAGGGTTCACTGCTGAGAGTCAAGGAAAGGGGGATAATTACAAGAGTCAGGTCCTTGCAAAGGGGAAACAGATGGAGATTCAGAGCCACATGGAGGAGATGCCACCTGATAGAAGCAGGGTCACCTCATTGTCAGAAGCTTCCTGAGATGACGGGACGATGAGGCCATTTCTATCTTGTGACTTCTATTTTCTCAATGAATTTTGAAACCCAATAATTTAGGACAGGGGTTCCCAGTTCTGGTTGCTTGGTGGAATTTCCTGGAAAGGTTTGTGTGTGTGTGTAAAGATTTAACATGTATGTATGTAAAGGTTTGGATTTTATTAAAATCCTTCCGTTTTTTTTCATTCTACGCTCTTCTTTCATTATGACTTTGAAGCAGTACTATTGATAACCTGCTCCATTTTCCTTTGACCTGTGCCTGAGCTTCTCTGCAGCTGTGAGCGACCATTTCCATCATGGGGATAGCTTCCTTCTCTGCGCACCTCACAAACGTGATGTTTTTGTTGTCTTAGGATCTGCTTTCACCTCTTTTTATTTCCTCTTCACCAGTAACTAGGGTTAGATCTCAGCATAGACAGCCTGGAAAGTATAGTACCTACTGCGGGAGAAAATCACTTATTCATGAGAAAAGCTACAGGTTTTCTGTTTGTCAGCCGGAACCAACCATTTTGTGAGGTAATGTGAAGCTTAGGCACAATGGTGATCTATGGTAAATGAGATGGAGACGTCAGAACTGTCTTGGCAGATTATTAAGGAAAGAGTCAGAAGGCTCAGAGCACTGGGCGTTTTTAGAATGTATTTGTTTTTTAAGACCAAAGAACCTGTCAGCACGCTTTTTTCCCTGGGTGGGCCAAAGGACAATCTTTTCACTAAAGCACCAAGATTGCAGTAGTGATGGAGTACTGATTGGCTGGGAAGCTCAATGGTGACTGCCCTGCGCAGACTAGGAATGACAGTAAGAGGTACCCTAGTATCAATAGGTACCATGGAATCTTAAAATATCAAAAGCATTTGGCAGTACTGAATCACCAGAAGCAAAATGGATGTAATTATAGTCAGGGATCCTTAACATTCAGGATATCTGTGGTGTTCCATAGACTATGATATTCCTAGGGGCAAGGTAGATAGGAAGCTAATAAAAGTGTTGTTTGAATTATATAACAGCAACAACAATGAACTTGAGCTGGTGAATAGAAGGCAAATGTCAACTGCCAAAATGGAACAGTGTGATCCCTGGA